CCCCGGTCGGCGAACACACCTACACGAAAAGATAAATCGCTCTCCCAAAACCCCCATTTAATTCCCGACCGTAACAGTATGTTTGCCCAGATCTAATTTTGAACTGTTTTGATAACATTGCTTTAACTTTTTCTTGTAGCCATTGCACCTGTTCTTCATTGAGAATCAATGGTATTCTTTCCTGAGATGGCATAGTATTGGAAATGTCATTGTTGATCTTTTCATATAATGATTGGTTAGATGTACTTGAACTACTGTCATTGGTATTTATCTTAATTAAATAAAGAAAATTAATAATAGCTCACCGGTGAATTTAGATAACTTCATATTAATATACTTACAAGCTCAATATTATGTATTGTATCATCTGATTGGAAGTTTAAGCAAGGAATCAAGTCTACTGCACCTTCATCATAATCAGACGTGTTGTGTAAAGTTGGAAGAACATCCACAGTAACAGATGTAGTACTATTACTATCAACATTCTCAGTTATTGACTTTCTTTTCCTGGGTGGCAACATCATAGATGAAGGCTGGTAGCTACTGTCAGTTTTGTAAGATACTAGATCAATCCATAACCCGTTTGGAAGTAAAAGAAGAAATGGTATAACTTTTTCTAAATATTCACTTTGTTGCATGTGAAAAAATCTGATGAGAGGAATACAGTTTTTAAGTCGTTCTTTCACATATTCAATATCTGCAGCAGACCATTCTTTAAAAGATTGAAGCTTGAGTTCTGGCCTTTTGGCTACACCCCAGTGAAGAACGTGTTCCCATATTTTACCTTCAGGCAACTCAATGTCTTTGTGTAATAATTCCACTATCGTCTCTTCGCTAGTGTCCAGAAAATCTATTGCCGCAAATATAATTTCTGGAGAATTTTCAAAGACATTTTTGCAAAAATTTTCTAGAATTGTAAGATTCGTCTGCTGAGAGGTAAAACGACTCACTTGTACAATGTGTTGTTGCAATAGATCTTTTTTGCACGTGATTAGACTCGTTTGAATCTTCTCCACCAAGTAAGTCAACTCGAGCCTATTCGCACCCTCAATTGCTTCAAAGTTACTGCTGATGTCGTCTTCAATCTTAAACGTTCCTACATAAATGTATCTGAGAGAATTCGTCAATTTTTTGTGTTATTACTAATATAGACAACAGCTGCTCAACACCTACTGAAGAAGTTTTTCAAATAGTTTGGGCTTGATTTGTTTAATGATGATGTTTGCCGGCGAAGCATATTGGCTGCCGGCTTGATTGCGGTATAGTTTATCTTTGAAATATGATGAACGTACGCTTAAAATCAACCAATGGGCTCGAAAAGTTTTAGAATGGCCTTCCTCTTCAACTTGTATGGTGACGTCAGTATTGTAGAGTTCCTCGTACAGACACTTGTATTCGTTTGATAGTTGTTCAGTCAAATATAATTCAACCATGGTCTCCAATAATACATACGCTATAAAAGAGTTGGCTAAGTGAAATTTCGATATTAAATATCTTTGCCGATCATCTTGGGAGATACACAGACATCTGATAATCGGGGGCCATGATATATTGCGCTAAAGGCTCTTGCACTAACAGGACTGAACATTGGTAGCAGTAGGCAATCAGAACAGAAAAACCTATTATAAAATCGTGCTAACGGTAATTAATAGTATTATGATCTGGCTTTACACGAGGATTAGGCACATTAAATACTAGCTCTGGTGATCAATTTATGGATAAAAGATACCTTCAGCACGATGGCGTATATCTCTCGGTCGATTCTCGTCCCAATCCTCATCCCAATCCTATGTCGACACAAACACAATTTGCAGGTTCTTAACGAGAGTAAGATAATCAGTTTGAAGCTAGATGTCCGGTAGAGATCAAAGCTTGATCAGGACTTTGTTGACGGGAGTGAAGAAAATTTAGCCATGAAACTTTTATATTTCGACGCATTCTATAGTCGAACAATTCATTACTACTGCCAAAGACATTGAGATGGACAAATTCTCGTTATTCATGAAGATAATCAAATAGAGTTTTAAATCACCAAATTGTTTTTGTGGGGTATGAATAAATACAAACAGAGATGTCTGACAATTCTACAGACGTTTAACTCAGCGTTGGCTTTTGTATTGTTCGTGTTAATGAGTGCTTGCAATAAAGTTGAGATACTTGCAATAAAGCACATTCTCTGATTAGTGGTTGCAAGAACTTGTTCTGCAACGCAAATGAACATTCGAAGTTATTTTTTTTCGTGATGGCAACACGGAGAGCGAAGCGATTCTCGTATATCAGTGGGTGCGTATCCTGGAAAAGAATAGATGTAAACAATATGGAACGGCAAACTCGAAAGCATGAGAGCAAGATGCACTCACCCCATTTCGACAGCAAAGCAACCGTATCTTTCAAACCTAGCCACCAAGCTTTAGTGCTCTTTCTATTAACTAAATCTGTTTCGTGTTGCAACTTTTTAACGGGCTGTATGATCATTGGCAGGGTTCACAGGAAAAAAAAAAAAAGCAGAAATTTAGTACTCTATTACCTAAATAAATCTTTCGTTCACATCTATTATGATGGCAATTCTAATGCGCATCTGCATATGCTCCAACCATTTATACCACCTCATATTCATGTGATAACATACCGTAAAGACAACGTGAGCTCCGCTAATTCCAATGACTACCGCGTTCTCCTCCAACAATTTGTCTCTCTCATCTCCCGATGGCAAGTTTGAAGTAGCATGTTGTCCCAAGAAATTTACACACTTCACCGCTAACCTTGTTGCCCGAATACGGTCAAGAGGAGATGGAGTGCTACCTTGTTGGATATGTCCTAGAATACATGTACGACAATCAAATAAACCTTGGCCTTCAGTCTTTATAATGTTAGCTATCACATCCGTTGTGTATGTTTCCGAGAGAGATTCATTTCTTATATAGAATATGCAGAAAGGAAGATAGTGTGAGAATCATGAGCGATGTAGGGTTGATTTTGAATATACATACTATTGTTCTGATAAACTCATACAAACATATTTACCTTAAAATCAATCGTCCCGAACTTACTCCTTTCTCATCATCACCAAATCTTCGTACGAAATGATTCACATCGTCTTGTAATTTCATCAAAGATATCCCCTCTTCAGGTATATAAGCACTTGTAGCGCCAACCTTCACAAACGAACAAATTGCATAAAAATTCTCGCTCATTTTCCATCACTAGACTTGTCCGTAACAAACTTGAGGATCTATCGAATAAAAACATACCGCAAGCCCAGACAAGACAGCCAAGAATCCGCACGTACCACCTTGCACTTCAACCACAAACACTCTCCTTCTGCTAGACGACGCGCTTTGTTTCAAAGCGTCGCAACTATCAACGATAGCATTTAATGCGGTATCACTTCCCAGGGAAAAATCCGTTCCGGGAACATTGTTCGAAATAGTCGCCGGTAAACACACCATAGGTATGCAGAAGGCTGGATATCTCGGCCGCTCGCTATTCAAAATAATCAAACTTCTGTACGCCTCAAATCCTCCGATTATCAACAGCGCATTAATCGAATGTTGTTGCATTTTATACGCGACCATGCCTAAATCAATATCCGGCAGCGTGCGATTTGTGCCCAGTTCACTGCCTCCCTTTGACTCCCAGTCTTCGGTACCTAACCAAGTAAACTCGTGAACACTATCTTTGAGAAGACCCGGAAAGCCGTTATGAATTGCGACGGGAACGTGGCCGTTATTAATGGCATAACGGACAGCTGCCCTCGTCGCGGTATTCATTCCCCCTGCTGGTGCGCCAACGTGAATTATTCCTATTCGGAGACGCTATTCAAAGATAAATCTTGATCAGGGATTGTAGCAGTATACTTCAGAAGCGTTTGATGTGAGATTACCAGAAAAAGGGGATGCAAAAACTCAGGAAAAAAGGTAGTGTAAACAAGCACGCAAAAATTACTACTTGTTACCTGTTCTTCAAGAAGAGTCAATCCATGATTAATTATCGTATTGATACTCGTATAAGCAATGAAATCTTCGCTAAATTCAGGATCTCTTAATTCCATAGCGGCGCGAAAGTCCTTCTCGTTAATCGCTTTGACTACCTGACCAGTCTACGGCGGAATAAGTCAGATAACTGTCACACACAAAGTTCATTGTAAAGTTCATTGTATTATTATCCATAAAATTATTACCAGCTCGACGGCTTCCATTAATGGTAAGCGTGTAACTGCATTCTCTCGTAGACCAATCATTGATGGCTCAGTTTCTGGAGTATCACTCAAGACTGCATCAACCGCCTCAACGCCTTGTCTCGTTGCCTAACGAATATCATGCATAAGACAATTTTAGCGTGTTAAAAGCGACCTTCCCTCGTGATAGACCTTCGGTCACATTATTAGACACTACTCACAAGATTCCTGTCGAAAGCACAAGGCCGTCCACCACGCTGAGTATGTCCAAGACAAGTAACACGCGTGTCCAATCCCATCTTTGTGGTTAAAATTTCTTTGACATAATCTGCTTTTATTGGTTTTAGATTTTGATCTACTGCCCCTTCAGCGACAATGATAATTGTCTTGCGGTTTCCAAGCTGAACTCCACGATTCTAATGACCACGAAATGTATATGATTGAGCTAACAGTCAATAAATTAATCGCATTTTGATAATAGTTTAAACTCACCTTCTTCAATATCTCGCAGAACTGTTCCTCCCAATCATCTCCAACTGGAGGACGCTCAGGTAGAAAGACGTAATCTGCTCCTGTGCTATCAAGTATTTGATATTACTCTACCATTATTCCAAATCCACATGTCGTTTCAACTTCCACGATCTTTATGGCCTGCTCCATTACAAGAATTCATTCAGTATTCCTTTATTGCTCACCTAATAGCAGCCATCAAAGCCAACCAGCCACAATGACGTCCCATAACTTCAATTACAAAAGCTCTCGAATGACTAGCAGCGGTGGACGAGATGCTGTCCACAGCCTCACAGATGCGATGAAGAGAGGTGGCGGCACCGATGGTTATATCAGTCGAAGACATGTCGTTATCAATTGATCCGACAAGACCGACGATGGTTAGATGAGTGTAAGGTTCGGTTTCGTCACTGCTTAGGCGGCCTGAACGTGTGTATATAGGCATAGTGAATAGTGAATGAAGTTTCCGGATTGATGTTACGGTAAACCTTATCCTTGACAATCCCAATATTCAGTCCGCCTATTCATCCTCCAAACTTACCCTCGCTCACAAGCTCCTCTAATAACCCCGTCCACTCTGATCGTAGAATGTTGGCCCCAGTCAATGATCCATCACCGCCAATAATGATAAGCGAGTCGATTCCTTTCTTTACAAGGTTATGCGCGGCAGACAAACGTCCCTCTCGTGTACGGAATTCTTTGCAGCGAGCCGTACCGATCAAAGTTCCACCCTTGATCATGAAAAAAAGTACAAATGGGAGCAGTTGAGGCGACAGTTACGACAAATAAGCGGAGATAATGGAGGAGGGCAAAGACATGTAAAGTTTACGATTGTTAAGTATCCTCTAACGTCAGCCCAATGAAATTCTTTAATCATGTCACCACCTCGGACGAGACCTAAAATAAATAAAGATAACTGTTAATGGTAGCAGATCATAATCATAATGATATTCTTCACTATCATTACTGTTATTCACTCAACTTATACACTTCTTCCTTACATTATCATTTTTATTTCCCTCTGTCATCTGTATTCCTACCTTCAAATCCCTCGAATATGGCATACGCCTCGCATCCCTTGGAAATAGCAACTCGAACAATCGCTCTGACCGCAGCGTTCATTCCAGGTGAGTCACCTCCACTAGTCAAAACACCAATCCTCCTCCTTCTAACTCTTCCATCATTCAAAATCTTCTCCGACCCCGCTTCTGTTTTCAATTTCGAGTCTTTATGCTCTGTTTGTGTTTTATGTACTGGCTCTCTCTCCATTCTACTCTCCATCACGCTAGGTGGCAGTAGCACATTTCGTGAGAAAGGAGACATTTTGTTTGTAAAACAAATAAGGTTATTTAACGGATCGTGCGCGTAGACATCAAGTTGAGAAACGTTGGCTGGATAAATGAAAGGAGAAGATAGCGGGGAAGGAACGGGATCTGTGGGAGAAGGAACTGATAACATGGTTGAAGGCTTGGCGATCGAGTAGGATTTGAATACAACCGATAAGGAAGTTAATTGCATTTTTATTGCCTTTAGAAGAGAGACTAATGTTAGTTCTGCTTGTTGTTGAATGCTAGAAAGCAATTTGGTTGTTTCAACAAACAACTTGTCAGGGAATTAACTCGGTTTTCTCCAAACTTGACACATACCTCAATATCTGCAGCGATAACGGTAACGCATATAGGCTGTAATCTCCAATCACCCTCTACAGGACTTTCTTTCAAATATGCGTGTCCGTTGTAAACTAATTTGATAGTAACATCTTTCTCCCCTTGCTCACCAAACAGATGCAATAAAGTATGTTTCGCTGGTTCGTTGTGTCTGACCGTCACAAAACCAAGCCCACTATAGAAATCTTTACATCGTGTATACAATTCAACAGTTGGAGCGGTGAGTGTAAGATGCGAGAATCCTGTAAGGCCTGACATATTTGACATATTTGACATATTTTTTTCTGTAGGCTGAAGAGGGCCTTATCACTAAATATAAAGGCATAACGCGCTCCTTGTGATCTGAAAAGATGACGATCGACACAAATCATCCGATGAGATCATCATGATTAAAGTAAATTGTAGTTACACAAACAGGGATGGTGTGATGCCTGCATAGAAGTTCAAGTCTTGCATGTGACAAAACTTGGATGCATGATTCGCTCCGTTTTTCCCTTGTTCTCTAGTTGAAAAGAAGATCACTTTGTTGTAAATTCAATATTCACCATCTTCTTGTATCATATGATCGTGCATTGAATAAGTTGAATCATTGTTTCATGTGATCGGGCAGCTTGCATCAGTTCTCCATGTTTATTCGTCATGTTAATTACAACAAACGCGAGTTTTTATGCATCAAAATAAATGGGCAACTATCGAAAAGGTGAGAAAGGCATTGGTGAAGGCAGAGAAAGAGCTGGAGGAGCAAAGACTGCATAAGAATTAATTAGAATGACCAATGAAGGAATTGCCAAGCAAACGATATGATAGAAGAGGTTGTTTTATTTATTTTCCCCCTCCAACTTTCAAGTTGATGATTATTCTAAATAACTTTGGTGATTGTATGAGATTCATGACTTTCTGAGATTTGATAAGTCAAATTTATGGTAATATTATATGACTGCCCAACTCCATTCTTACTGCTGCAATTAAGTATATTATTTAATGGCAACACTTACACACCAAATGGCCAGTACATGGTATTAGTAATTTTATATTCCAACAACATACAGTATCGAGAGTCATTTGTATAAGCCGATTGTTTGTCGCGATTTTATTTATGTGTCCGTCGTCAGACCACGTGATTTTTCGAGAGATAATCTTTACCGTTTTAGTAAATACAATACAAATAATTTTGCTTCATCGTTTTCTTGCAGTACAAGAAGTCCGGAAAAAGAAGAAAAAGAAGAAAGAGAAGAGGGGGAAGAAATCATAAGCAATACGGTTGTTTTGGATAGCATCAAAATATATTTAATATAATAGTAGACAGTAATCTCGAGAATGAAACATCAAATTAGAAGAAAGCGAAAATGCTTTTTATTATGAAATTCGATAAGTCGGATCTCCGACTTATCGGAGAGTGCCTATGTATTACTCTACCATTAATAACTTTATCACCGAAAATGTCACGTGTATACAAAAAGACTGCAACAAAGGCGTTTCGTTTTTGATATATCCGCAGTAAAGTCACGTTTTCACTGATACCCAGAATTTTTTGTTTCAAATAAAATATCTTTTGAATAATTTGTTTAATTTCGTACAATGATATTATACAAGATGATAAAATTTCGTAGAATTTGATTCTATCGTGTCTCGTATCACGAATTAGTGATTATATAATACAACATAGTGATAGTTTTCGTACGCGTCTTACTTTAAATTTTGACTTTACTTCATCGCTTCTCTTGTTAAAATGCAATGACAGTACTGTTTCGATTCCTTTTGGCCGAGCAGCCGAATGGTATTCATTATACTTGGGAAAGAAAGAGGATCGTGGGATATCATAAATGAGCTATGGTTATATGTCTGACATCATGGATTGATTTGAATATAGTTATAATTAGCTAATAATAACGCAACGGATAAACCTCAGGGCAATAATAAAAACGTGACTTTGCGGATATATAAACGCAAAAGTTTCGTTTTTGATACACCAGGAGTTCCGTTTTTGATAGATCGGCAAGCACCCCAAATTTTGTTTCCT